TGTACTATGATGTACATCAAATTTGACCTTCTCAAAAACCAGTCTCAAATTACATACTAAAAAACAGTGATTAGGTTTGTCCTTGAGAATCATAGAATACCCAACAAATGAGTACAAAACATTCTCCTACACATTCAGAATAGATCAAATTCCATTTACCTATGGTGAAAGGAAAAAGGAACGGCTTAACTTTCCCAGAATTTTCAGTCAAAATCTGATTCTGCAGCTTTCACCACCATATTGAAAATGAAGCCAACACAATGCAATGCAATCAGAGTGCACACAGCACTTGCCTTAGAACCATTCAGAGATAAATGCCCTCTGGAAACATATTATTTATGAAATCTTTAGTGAGCAAGGAGATTGAATGAGACAAGTATGGTTGAATGTGTTGAAATCGCATTTTTTCCCTCTTGCATCTTCATGAAACAAAACAAGCAAAATCTTGGCAATCACTTTCATTTCTTAATTCAAAAGATGAGCTTGTTAAGATGAGATCTGTAGATACAAATTTTTGTCTAGTTTTCAATTGTTAGGTTTACTTATTCTCTTTTGGTTGTTTTAAAGTGCATTAGATCATATCCATATGTATATTTTCTGCCCGCAATGCAGTGGTTGCCGAAAAAGACTGTTTACAATCAAGTAGTTTCTTTGCTGAATTTCCAAAGGTGCCATTTCTTACACTTCACAAGGTCATCCATCACTTCATTCAGGATGAATAATAATTTATTTTGCGAATCCTGAATTTGATTGCAAGTTTAGTCTTACAAAATTGCAGATGCCAACAAAATGCTCTATAGACCTGCACACTCATCCAGAAACACCATTTGCTGGCCCAGGTGCTGTGGTTAAAATGCAACAAAAGTAAATTCAACCACAAAGCAAATATAAGGGCTATACAAAAAGGAAGAGTGCATTGCTTAATCATTAGCAGGGTTTGTTTTTCAACACTTATCCACTGGATAGAAATTTATCCAGTGATTAGGGTTATCCAGCCTTCAAACAACTGGGGCCTTAAGTTTTAAAACCTACTCTACTTTGCTAATAATTTTGAACTCAAAACGTAATTCCTGATTGTATGCTGTTTGAGCAGAACTTAAAATTATGAAAATCGGAGAAGGTACTGAAGGGGATCAGAATCCCAGCTCAATTTTCCCCATCAGGACTCTCAGAAGAGGAAAATTTGCCAAAAATTTAATAACCTTTATCTCTTTTTATTATTTTCCTCCACGAGCCTACATCTCAAGCAAGTCCCAGGTGCTATCTGGAAGTTTCTGAATGAACTAAACTCTCAATCAGAACTAACAAAACAGTTCCATTTGTCATTTTTTGCGTCATAACATTCAATGCTCTTCAGAAATGACGTGCCACCAAAACCTCCCACGTTGTAGATGTGGTCTTTAATGACCACAGTTCCAACATTATGGCAGGGAATGTTCAAACTAGCCACTGTTTTCCACTCATCAGTTGAAGGATCATAGCACTCTACGCTGTTGAGGAAATTCGTGCCATCAGATCCACCAATCACAAACAATTTACCATGAAGTGCTGCTGCACCAGCCCCCCGACGGGCTGTCTTCATGGGTGGAACCAAATACCATTGATCTTCTTCAGGGTCATAGCACTCCACAGTCTCGTCTCGGCGGTACGCAGAGTTTTGACAAGCTGCATGGAATGTCGCAAGCGAAATGCACGTCCTGGCGAACAAATTATGGCCCCACTCCCGGAAGCGCGTGTTGCACCATCAGATCCTCCGTTTACTTATGTTGGTGTAGATTATTTCGGTCCCCTCTTCGTCAAGCAAGGTCGCAGTCAAGTTAAGCGTTATGGGTGCTTGTTCACGTGCCTGACCATGAGAGCGGTGCATATCGAAGTTGCTCACACGTTAGAAGCAGATTCCTTCATCTGTGCGTACCAGCGTTTCGTAAGCCGTCGAAGGAAGCCCAAGGAGATATACAGCGACAATGGCACCAACTTTACTGGCGCTGAGCGAGAACTCAGAGAAGCACTTGAGCGATTAAACCAAAGTAAGGTCTATAGTCGACTAAGGACGGACGATGTCCAGTGGTCATCTAACCCTCCGGAGGCTAGCCATTAACGTGGCGTCTGGGAATGTATAATTCGTTCTGTGCGTAAGATTCTCAGCGCTTTGTTAAAAGAGCAGCTGGTTAATGATGAAACCTTGTCAACTCTACTGTGCGAAGTGGAGAAGATACTGATACAGGCACTACCCCGCCACAACCTGCTTGCTCCATTGCGTGCTTGGAGCTTAGGCAAAACTGACAGGCAGGTTGTAAAGCCCCCGCACCAGGCAAACAACAAAGAAACAAGAAATCACCAGCCTTACAGCTTGCTACTTGGAACGTCAGAACAATGTGTACTGGCCTTTCTGATGACCTCCAGCAAATCCATGATGCCAGGAAAACCGCCATCATTGACCGTGAGCTGTCCAAACTCAAGGTCAACATCACCGCCCTTCAGGAGACACACCTCCCCACAAGTGGCAGTCTCAAGGAGAAGGACTACACCTTCTTCTGGCAGGGACTCAAGCCAGAAGAGCGCCGCCTCTACGGGGTCGGATTTGCAGTGCGCAACACCCTCCTGTCTTCAATGGAGCCTCCCTCTCAGGGGACCGCAAGGATCCTCTCTCTCCACCTCTCGACCCCCTCTGGACCAGCAAACATCTTCAGCATCTACGCCCCCACACTCTGCGCTACAGCCGAGGCTAAGGATGCATTCTATGAGGAGCTTGAGGCCAAGATCAGAGAGATCCCACAGAAAGAAGACCTGTTCCTTCTTGGAGACTTCAACGCCCGGGTAGGCTCAGAACACAACTCATGGCCGCGATGCATAGGACACTTCGGAGTGGGCAAGCTTAATGAGAACGGACAGCGGCTACTTGAACTCTGCACTTTCCATGGTCTGTGCATCACAAACACCTTCTTCTCCACTAAACCGCAGCACAGATTGTCCTGGAGACACTGAGGACCATGGAATTTTTAACAGAGAGGTCAAGTTAAAGGCTTCGTTCTTATCCAAGCTAAGACTGCTAGGACATGATAACCGATGACCAGTTTTTACATAGTATTAAAAATTATTTTTCTTTTACTCTTATTCTTACTTTATTACATTTTTTATCACAATTAAGATAATTTAAAGATGGTCACTGGTCATTGCCAATACAGCTTGTTTTAATCTTACTACTTTTTATTATAAAATGTTTTTCTAAATCTTTGGTTGTCAGAAATACCATATGCAAAAGGATTTAATACTAATAAATACGTTGAATAGGGTTTTTTACGACATAGTTTTCTAAAAAATAGGCCTGATGTCCAATGTACAATCATTTAAGAATGAAGTGTAAAGCAAGAAATTACAAATTCTATTATGCCTGAAACAAAAACAGATTCAGAACAGATTTCACATAAGCAAACCTCACAAAGGAGAAAAGAAAAACGCAATAGATAAAGAATATTACCTCAAAAATTGAGAAAAAAACTTGAAGAAGTCAAGAAATGACGTCAAGAAAAGTCAGAGAAGGAGAGAGAAAATTAGAGAGCACACCAGAGAGAGTCAGAGAATACAGAGAATGAAAGCAGCAATTGGATCAGACTCTAGACACCGAAGGTCAAGACATGGGCAGCAGATTTCAAAATCTGACAACAAAAAAACATACTACTGATAAAGTTAAAGGAGATAAAGCTGATGTCATTAAAAAAAAGCTGATGTCACTGAAAATTTGGCATGTAGTCCCAGAACTAGGAAAATACTCAGCCCTTGAAAACCCCAGAAGAGGAGAGAGAAGTTGCAAGTCTAGGGGCTCTTGCATTAGCCATATCAGCAGGACTCAACAAAACAAAACGTTCTGGGTCCAACAAAAAAAGAGCGGCATTTAGAGCTTTTAAATCTAATGTCAAAAAATCTAGAGCCAAAAAGTCCTTGGGGAGTTTGGTCAACCTCAATGACCAAAGTATAAGCAAAGCAATAAAGATATGCAAAGAAATCTTAAAAGGCGACAAAGAAACCAGGCTGTACATAAAGCACAAAGTTTGCAAAGATGCTCTTTTGGAGCAAGATAAGAAAAAAATTTTCAATTACTGGTCAAGTTCAGTGAGCCCAACAACAGGAGACAAGAAAGACTGAAGAAAAGCATTCATAAAAACAGTACATAAAGCACGCCAAGCATGTTCTTGAAAAGACCAAGATGGAGGCTTTCCAAGAATTCAAAGTGCTCCACCCTTAAGTTACAGTCAACAAAGGAAATTTGAAAACTTTATGCCCTTTTATGTTACGCAGGTGAAAGAAAGAGACAGAAAATCGTGTCTTGTCAAAAACACGTTGAGGCAAAAATCGTTTTCGGCACTTGTCCTAATTCAGGAAAGAGCTATTAAAAAGCAAAGAGAACCAAACCGACAATGATTCACTTATTCATCTACCACCAGATCGAGTGCTAAGAATGAAATTGTAAGTCTTGCGGCATTGATAAACTACAACTGCTGCCTGAGGAGAATTCACAAGAGGGGACTGTCCACTAGTCATGCTACAAGTACATATCAACAGGGAAGTTTCTGTCAAATGGTCAGGAAAGAAAATAGCTCTTATGTCAAAGGAAACCTCTCCTTGTGAGCTGTTTCTTTACTTTAAAGAGCTACTTTAGCATTACCCTTACCACTCATTCCTGGCGAAGTGGCAAAGAAATCAAATGGATAGCCTCCTTGAACATTTCCCAATGGGCCATGCAGTATGTGTTCATGACCACTCTGAGGGTTACTCATGAAGGCAGCGAGACAAAATACAGTCTGAATACTTTGATGTAGCCAAAGTTTCACTTCACGTCACCATCCTCTATCACCATACAGTGGAAGACTTTGATGATGAAAGTAGCACTAGAACACCTATTTGTCATCTCAGATGATACAGCGCAAGACCAGGATAGTGTCCACAAGGTGCAACAGCTTGTGTAAGGATACTTGAGCCATATCCACTACACAGTTGAAAAGATGCACAATTTTACTGATGGCTTCACAGCACAATATAAATCAAGACACTGTGTTGGTAATCTGTCTTTCTCTCTTGCTAATTTTGGATATACCATTCAAAGAAATTACTTTGAAACCTCTCATGCAAAAGGAGAGCAAGATGCAGCTGGCTCAAATATAAAACAGAAGATCAGCCAAGTAGTTCTCTACAGGACTACCACCATCAACAGTGCTAAGGCCATGTATGAATACCTGGAGGCCAACTTCACACAGCCTGCTTCAAATGCAGTTCACTTAAAACAAAGAGTCTTCTTCTATGTACCATCTGAAGGGGAAGAGGCTGTCTCGAGAAATAGAGATGGAAGAAAATTTTAAGAGGTAAAGGGAACCAGGCAATGGCACTGCATGAAGTCTTCAGCCCAGCAGGAGAAAGTGCTAGTCTGACACTGATCCTGCTATTGCATTAACTGCATTGTGAATGAGGAGGCTCTTGTGCAAACGAGGCATGAGTTGCATGATTGGATGGATGATTGGAAAGTTGTTACCATTGCTCCAGACAGCTCAGTGGCAACAACCAGGCAAGCCAGAGAGGAGAATACCCTTGACCATGACACAGCATCTCACTTAGCTGACCTTGCAGCAAATGGAAGTACTGTTGCCATAGCACACAGACCATCAGTTCAATGCATTAAGGGCCAGCAGGTTCTCAAGGGACACTTACCTGAGAGAGAACATTCATGATGTGACATTTACACTTGATGAGAAGCACACCACAACTGTTTAAGCTGCCACAGTCTGCCACATTTGTGGTGATGTGACGGTTGAAAAAAATATTTATTTCCTTTCTCTGAGAGAAAATAAGGAAATAATTGCTTAATTATCAAGCATTTTTTACTTAATTTCATTGCCACATACATCTTGTACCAAAATGTACAAAAATTTGCCACACCCACAAATCATTATGGGCAATATTAAGATTTGTTATAATTAGCTGAATTTTGTAAATATTTTTATTTTTTAAACAGAAATGTTCATCACTGTTTGTTTCTCAATGATCATACAAAACAAAGAGTAAAAATTAAGAGTTTTGTGTTTTGACCCTATGTAACATAAAATTTAGGCACAATTGTGCAACTCATCATTCCTAATATTAGAACTAATTGTGGTAAATTAAATGTAGTTGCCCATTATCTAGAATTCAATTCAAACCTGCTTCTTTTCCACAGTTTAAGCTATACATGTACCTTGAGGAACACTATCTTTCATTATACTGATAATACTCTAGTTTTATTCTAAAATATTATTGTCTATGTATGTAATTGTAGTGAGGGTTTGATCTTTGAAGATTGTTGAATATTGTTATAACTCTTTGTTCTTGTGTGATGTTTGTATAGTTTATGTGTACTGTACCTCTATCATAAGCATTTAAATTACAAAACTTAATCCAGTGCCCTTACATTGTTAGCAGCTTAGTTACTCAAGGGTACTGATACCCTCCAATTATCATAACAATTAATCATCATTTTCTATTTAATACATTGCTAAAAATTTGATAACAGGTACAATAAGGTTGCTGTCATTGTTGCAAACTATCAAGTTTAGTTGGAAAGGACGAAAATTCTGCTATCAAGCTCAAAAGTGATCTTACATAAGACTTGAAAAATCTTTATGGCATGCAGTCCCAAGAAATCACCTGTCTGGGAACAAAACCTGTCTACAGCACCACTAAAGGGGTTGATAAGCACTTTTAAAACTTTCACCATCTCCATGTAAATAAAAAGACACATACATAAGTAGCAACTCTGGCAAAGCTTTGCCACTTGCGTGCTCACAAATATTTAGAAGTTCAACCATATCTGTCCAACCCTGCAGGAATTCGGTTCCTGGTATGTGACACCATGTAATTTTGCTCGTGGAAAACAAAAATTTTTAATGGACACATATTTCACCTTAACCATTTAGGTCACCTCTCAAATGGGTAACAAGCCCCACTAGTAATTGTTCAACTGTCTATGTGGGACTATTTACAACCACTGCAAAATAGACATTTTTTTGTTCAGTTTTACTTTTGTTCTTTTATTCCGATAAATTACAGGAGAATCACATAACTGAACCAAGAGGAATATATGTATGTGATCCTACATGAAACACATACCTTAATAGGGGGCTAATGGGCTAGATTTGTAGCATACTACAATCAACCTGACAACAAACTTGCACATCTCATCTCCCATGGTTGGTCCTCTGAGATGACCAGCAAAAAGTCTAAAACCCATATAGGAAGAAAAAAATGTGTCAACTACAGAAACATCCACTGGGAGTGAAGTTGATGATGCACACTCCTTGAGAAAAAGGGGCCTAGGAGAACACTACTCCACTAACAAGGAAATGTTTCTAATTAGTCCCTTAGAATAATCATCAGTACCATGGAAAGCACACCTTTTCAGTCATTGCTCCCTCACTCTGCAACAATTTAGCAGACCAGATAAGAGCTTCAACATGCCCAAGTCAACCCTCAAGGGTCAATCCTTGGCTCTTTACTCTTTGTCCTTTTTGTCAATGACCTTCCTATAGTTTTAGAGCGATGCCAGATTCTGATGTACGCTGACAATACAGTTATGTATTTCACTGCTAGTAACGCAAACTTGCCAAGGTCAATGATTGGCTTGTACACAATAGTCTTTTTATTCACCTAGGCAAAACAGAATGTGTTTTGTTTGGTACTGGTTCTAGGTTAGCAAATGCTAATCTCTCTGTGAATATTGATGGTAAGGAGCTAACACGGGTTGCTGAGTATAAATACCTAGGAGTAATTTTCGAAGAGTCTCTTTCATGGAATGCATACGTGAATTACTTAATCAGCAAAGTCAGTAAAAAATTAGGAATTCTTGGCTGCACTAGGGGGAGCATTAGTATGCATACTGCTGGTATAATTTATAGATCATTTATTCTTCCTGTTCTTGATTATTGTGATACTGTTTGGAATTGTTGCGGATGTATAAATGCTGATAATATAGAAAAACTACAGAGACGTGCAGCAAGGATTATCGTGCAAACCAACAGCAGTGATGAAGCACTAGCTCACCTTAGATATGAAAAGCTAGGGCTTAGATGGGAGACTCATGCATTAGACCTTGTGAAGAAATGTCTGAATAAGCGCTGCCCACAATTTTTAATGGATTACTTTTCTTTTAATAGAGATATTGTACAGAGAAATATGCAGCAAAGTAATCATCTCTGTTTTCCCTCCATCAAACTAGAATATACGAAAAAAGCTTTCTATTATCATGGATGTGAAGTTTTTAATCATAATTTATAGTTTTTATTAAAAGTTGTAACAATTTTAATGTTGTTTTAGGATATCTTTCTATTAGCTTATTAGTTGGACTAGTTTTATGTACTTTTAACATTTTTATATATATATATATATATATATTTTTTTTTTTTTATTAGGGCCTCTAAGGATATCAGTTTTTGTAACTGTAGGAGTTGCCCTGACTAAATAAAAGCATCTTTTTCTTCTTAAGTTCTTTTAAGGGGAGAGTTTCCATATTAAAAAATATCAAACTTGTGATGTAATTTTAATGTTTTTTTTAGCAACTTTGTTGAGCATTATTGGTTAATTAGAAGAAATAATGATTTTAATCATTATTGTTAAGCAACACCACACTAGTATATAGGCTCTTAGTTTTACACAAATTTTCCTTGACTCCCTCTAGTGCATATGTATGCGTGAAAAGTGAGATTCATAATTTGATAATTTACATGTAACATTGCTGTTGATGTTTTGTTTGGCTATGTTTGCTCCACTTTTAGTTCATTTACATGTAATTCTTCATTTATTGTAAGCTTTTTGTTTTACAAACACTGTTTGTAATGCATAGTGATTTCCTTGATGCAACGGTTGTTCACATGATAAAGCCAGTTGGAGGGTGCAGCCACCTCTCAGATGAACAAATAAAGCTCTAGCCATTACACAAAACATTTCAACCCCAAATCCATTACATCATCATTAATGTAGCTGTTTACACCATAGCAAAAGACAATATCACCATCTTACACAACTCTGTCCAACCTACATTGTAAAGATCAAGCAGAGCAACACAGATTTTGTCCTCCTGACAAGAACTTTTAGTGTAAGTGGAAACAAGAATAGTAACAGGGCCTTTTGACATATAAAGGAGATGACCGCTTGCCCAAGGTTTTTCCAGAATTGTTGCACTCCATTTTCCTGACAAAGTGAAACAAAGCTCTTGGAACAGTGCATGTGTGGTGTTACATAAAACCAAAATGAGGGCATCAATTCTCTGGTATGGGTTTGGTTCCCAAAGCATAAATGTCAAGGTGTGAAAGTAACTTTCTGAGCTCTGGTTTCCCTTGCATTACTCTTTTTATGTGGAGCTCCTAGCTGCCAAAAAAATTATCATGTACTGCCACATTTTTACTCAAACATTTTAGTTTTCACTAGTTCATATACCTGTAGATTTTGATTAGATACAATTTTATTGGTAAATCAGTTTCTTCTTCCTTGGTTATTATTGCAATTAGCTTTTATCCTCATCAGTTGTAAATTAACTCAGAACAGACATTTGAGAGAGGAAATAAGCAACTGTACTGTCACTCAGGGATACTGAAAAGACATAAAGGTAAGGAACTTTTAGGGTAACCAAAGAGTCAGAAGTCAGAGAGTGGTGATAAATGGAACGTCTTCTAGATGGACCGATGTAGGGTCAGGTGTCCCACAAGGGTCACAAGTGGGACCGATACTGTTCTTACTATTTGTTAATGACATGCCTAATGTTGTTACCAGTGCAACAATGGCTATGTTTGCAGATGACTCTAAATGTTACAAGGTTACTAACCACCATTCTGATTACTTGCATCTGCAGCAGGATTTAGACACACTTTCAAATTGGTCTTTGCGAAAGAGTTGTTTTTTCAGCCTACTAAGTGCAGCAATTTGAGAATTTCTAGGAAGCGCCTTAGTCCTCCTCGCAGTTATGTGTTAAATGGTATTAATGTGGATGACACCCCTTGGAAAGATCACTTAGTCATGATTGTAGCTAAAGCTAATAGGATGCTTGGTTTCCTCAAAAGGAACTGCGCTGGTATTGTTGGTAGTATGGTGCTTTTGCGTCTTTACTGCTCTTTAATGCGCATTTTTGTTTTTGCTCTCAGTTATGGGCCCCTCAGTCAAGTACCAGTAATTTAATCCTTATTGAAAACATACAAAGGAGAGCTACTCATTTTATCTTAAGGAATAGTAACCTATGTTATAAGGCTCATTTAATCAAGCTTAAGTTACTACCACTAAGTTACTGGTTAGAATATCTTGACTTAGTTTTCTTTCTTAAGTGCCTTCATGGGCTTATAGATTTCACTTGTGAATTTAATTATTTTTCTTTTCTAAGGGGCAGCATGCGCCATGCTCATCAGGGCTGCATTTAAAGTTAAATGCCTGTTGTACGTCTTCCTTTCAAGACTTTTACTTCAATGGAATAACTTTGATGTGGAACAGTTTAGCTAAAAATATCAAGGATTCAGACACTATAAGCTCTTTTAAAAGTAAACTCAAATCATTTTATTTTACCAGACTTTTGAATGCTTTTGATGGTGACAATTTTCATTCTTTTAAATTAATTTGTCCTAAGTGTCGCTGTGTAAATACTTCCTCTGTCTTTACTTGTTAAGTTAAGTTAAGTTGTTAATTTGTATACTTTAGAATGTTCTGTGTGATTTAG